AGTAGCTTCAAATGATACAGGATCTAGTATTCTTGATGTCCCAGTAAGTGTCCTAGTTCTGTGGCAGAGTCTCAACATTTTGTGACTTGCAAGTCTAAGCAGTGAAATGCCCAACTCTGAATAAGCGGATCTGCAAAGGAAGATAATTTAATTTTGCAGTAGCCTAGTTCCTTTAAAGGATTTTAACAGAACAGAAATTATTTTTTCCTTTAAATTCTGACCAGAGTGCAAGTATTGCCTGAACGTGACTGAGTGGACTTTACTCAGTACCTGACATAGTTGTAGGCCTGCAGGGCATTTCCTTCCCTCTTGCGCCCTCTGCCTCTAATTATATGTGTAAAACATCTGCGATTTCAATCCCTTGTGGTCCTCTCTCTCGGATCCGTAAAGAAGTGGCTTTCCATAAACTCAATTTCCTGTCCCATTTCTGTAATGGCAGTTCAGTTAACACTGACCAAATTCTCTTCTGCTTCTTAGGTCAATATCCGACACAGCCATCCTACCCAGTGCAACCTCCTGGTAATCCTGTGTACCCACAGACAATGCCTCTTCCTCAAGCACCACCTTATACCGATGCACCTCCTGCTTACTCTGAGGTACGCAATATGTCCCTTTTGTGTTCTTGCTCCACACCTGAAAAGTAAACTTGAACTGGTTACAAATGAATACTTAATACCGGCATTTGTTAGCCTGGAATGACCATTTGCACCTCCCAAGAGTGGGCAGCAATCAGTCTGGCAGCTCTGTCTAGTGAGAAATGTGCTGAGTTAGGGGATGCCACTCTGACTGCTAATTAGAAAAGCATACTTTATGCACTTTGGGAGCTGTTCCAGGTTTCAAAATCCTTCTCTCTCTCTCTCTCTCCCGCCTTCAGAAATCAGTAAAACATTAGTTAATAGCTTTGGCTAAATGCTCAAGCATAAGAGTCAGTAAAAATGAATTGACATTGCCCTCTGCCAGAGGCTTCATGTGTGGATACAAACATTTCTGTTTTGAAATGGGAAAAAATACTTGTTCTGTGATCTGGCTGAAATCCACAAATAACATTTCCTTTCCCAAATCCATTTAAAATGCCAGAAACTTTAGTCAAAGCTTCCCTTGGAGTTGCCACTAGAGCTAACCTGTGTAGGCAAAAGCCAATAAGATGGTTCTTCTGGATTGATTCTGGCAGACAATCGGGAAGCACCATGCTTCAAATTGGCATAATCTGATCAAACTCCTCTCTCCCTCCAGATGGAGTTGTGCTTTCAGGGAAGGGAGTGGGACTACCGCTGTACTTGAGGGAGTGGGACTACCGCTGTACTTGAGGGAGGGCGGCAGCCCTATGACATACTATCAGAGCTTTGAGAGAGAATCTGCATAAATGGTTCTGGGGCGAGGAAAATCTTATAACTTCCTTGTGTTTCTCGTTCTAGCTCTATCGTCCAAGCTTTGTGCATCCAGGGGCTGCCACCGTACCTACTATGTCCGCTGCATATCCTGGTGCTTCTCTGTACCTACCCATGGCACAGTCTGTGGCTGTTGGCCCAATGGGCTCTTCAGTTCCAATGGCATATTATCCTGTAGGTCCTGTCTACCCTCCTGGGTCAACTGTCCTTGTTGAAGGTGGCTTTGATGCCGGAGCGAGGTTTGGGGCTGGTGCCACTGGTAGTGTTCCTGTAAGTATAAATGTATTGTGGAAACCCTGCATGTCTCATTTTCAGAGTCACATGGGAGGCTGACAACATAGGCTATTCTAAACATTTATCAGAAGGTGCTTGTGTCCGTATTTAGGAGCAATCGGCTGCTAGGAGAGAACCGGTGTGAACGACCTGTGCTTGTAGAGCTTATGGTGTTCTGTTGCAGTCTTTTTCTGCCATCACATCTCTGCTTGGCTTTGAGGGGGATTAAAAAAAGCCAGGGCGGCATTCGTCGTCTTAATTCTTGCCTGTCCTGTTGCCTCACCAATTCTGTCCTCTGAATGGAGCAGGGATGACTCTACTAGTTCAAACCAGGTGATCAGGGTGTTGCCCAGCTGTTTGTGTACTATTCCGTGCAAGCATGGTTCAGTAGCTAGCTATGGGTGCGTTGATGGTAATTATTCTGTGTTGCAAAAGGAGTGCCCGGTTCACTGTAATCCAATACATCTTGTCTACCCGGCTGAGGTGCCAAGGTGGCATTGCCCTCTGATCCTCTTAACTAATCCTCTCTTTGTTTTTCAGCCGCCACCTCCTGGCTGCCCTCCCAATGCAGCCCAGCTGGCAGCCATGCAGGGTGCCAATGTGTTAGTGACGCAACGGAAGGGAAGCTACTTCATGGGGGGCTCGGATGGTGGTTACACTATCTGGTGAACAAAGAGGCTATGTTTGTTTAAGGAAAGACATCACATACTGTCAGCACTTCTCACAATGTAACTGCTTTAGTCATATTAACCTGAAGTTGCAGTTTAGACACATAACGGTGGGGTGTCTTCCTGGTGCCCAACCCTCCAGGCACTTTTAAAACGTAATAAGAAACCATGTAATGGTAGCAGTGCCTCTATTAAAGAGGGGTTAATTCATGAAATGAATGTGAGCTAAGCAGCCCCACAGATCTTCCTTTAATTCCACTGGAGTAATACTGCAGCACTGTCTCTTGGCTTTTATTAATCAACTGTCTATAAATTAGGGGGGCGGGAGGAGAAGGGTAGGAAGGAAATCTGACTTCAAAGTATCAAACTATAATTCTTGCAGCTCCATCTCAAATCTATTGCTAATCAATAGGAGTGAGATACATGCATCCTCTTTCTCCTTCCATAGAATCAATGGTGCTGGATAGAAAGCCAGTCACATTCATTTCTCTGGTGGCCACATAGGGCTTTTTCTCCCTCGCGACTTCACAGTAGAATGGATCCCTTGAAGCACTCTCTGTGCTCGCATTCACTCTTCATTTTTCTCCAGGAAGGTATGCAGCTAGGATGTGACATGGGATGTTCTTTTGATACATTCCCAGTAGCGTTGGGACTTCTTTGCACGTTGAGTCTAATCAAAGCCATGCTTTGGTGCCTGAAACACGGTGCAACTCCTGTTCGAACGTTTCATTAAATGCAAACTAGACTTTTAAAACTACAGCTTAATAACAAAACCACATTTTAAAAGCAACTTGGTGTCTTGACAGCAAAACTTAAGGCTATTACTCAGAATAGAGAGATGGGTTTCCATCTGTGCTCGAGTGTGTAGCAACTGTCAATCAACACACAAGTTAGCTTGGTGAATGGCTTGTTTTATGAATGCATCCTTTAAAAAATGACTTGAGTATAATGAAGTCTTATTAGGGTTAAGAAGAATATTTCAGGGATCCTCAATCTTTTGGTTTTTGTTTTATGAAGAAAAAAAAATCAGATTTGGTGAATATATTTTATCTTGAGGTTTCAGTTGAATCTAAATCTCTGTATTGTATGTTGTGTTAAACCGTACAACTGACTGTTCTGGAAGTTCAGCATTATGTCTCTCTGTATACACTGTGGTGCACTTAACTTGTGGATTTTTTTATACTAAAAAAAGTAGAATAAAGACTATTTTGAAAATTTGAATAAAGTGACAAAGTTGCATTAGACCTCACACAGAACTCCTGATCATTGCTCAGCTTGGTGGTGGTGGTTTTTTTATTTATTTTAAAGGCTTGCATCTTCTTTCCTGCCTTCTTGCAAACTTCATCTTAAAGAGGTTTTGTGAAAGGGGAACTTTTCTTAAGAGGTGAGGAGAACCCTGAAGATCTCCTGAGAGCATTTCACACTAGTCTAACTTAACACAGGGAAGGATGAAAGGAAAGAATGAAGTGAAATTTGAGTCAAGCTGTTGGTTTGTGAGGATATCGCAGACTGGCATGATGGGTAAGTGGACTTGTGGTACAATAGAGGTTCATGCCAAACTGAAGGATTTTTAGTTTCTTGGAAACGGTCATCCTGCTTCAGAAGTTAAGCAATACATGGCGTGTTGAGTCATCTAGAGTGATTCAGTCAAACAACTCTGTAGGGCTAAAGCAAACAACAAGGGCAGAGTAGTTTCAGGCACCTTTTTTCATCCCTAAAAGGGAATTACTGCTGATAGAGGTAAAGCACTTTGAATTTTAGCACTTCATTCAGCCTAAGATCATGTAGCTTGCCCTAAAGAGGGGTGTTTTCCTTTTGGTGGTGGCACTAGACACACCAAACTAAGGTACTGTGCAGAATAGTGGTACAACAGCCTACACCATGTCGAGGCCTGACTTTCTTGTGTTGAGGGACTTGTTTACATGAAATAAGCTGCTAGCCTCGCCGCTTGTAAGAATGTAAGAGGAAGTGTTGTGCTTAATTAGATCATGGATCTGTCTGGTCTCAAACACTGGCCAGTACCACATGCAACACCTCAAAGTGAAAGAAACCCTGTAGTGGAAAACACCAAATAAACTGCTCATAAGGCGTGTTTCTTTAATTGGCCTCTGTCAGCTAATGGCCATCCTCCTTTTGAGAGGCAGTGTGCTCCAAGGGTTAAGAAACTGGGTTAGGAGCAGGAGCCCTGGGTTCTTTTCCAGCTCTGCCACTGACTTGCTGTGTGACCTTGGGCAAGTCACTTCCCCTGGCTGTGCTTCCAGTTCCCCTCCCACTTGGTGGCCTTTTAGACTAAATTCTTTGGGGCAGGGACTTGCTAAGTAATTGTACAGAGCCTAGCATGATGGAGGCCTCTAGGAATTACAACACAAATAATAACTTTGGCCCTTAATCTAGTCCCCCCTTCCTTTAGGCAACCTTAACATTCTTTGCTCGAGGAGAGAAACTCTAGATCAGGGGTAGGCAACCTATGGCACGCATGCCAAAGGTGGCACGTGAGCTGATTTTCAGTGGCACTCACACTGCCTGGTCCTGGTCACTGGTCCGGGGGGCTCTGCATTTTAATTTAAATTAAACTTCTTAAACATTTTAAAAACCTTATTTACTTTACATACAATAGTTTAGTTATATATTATGGACTTATAGAAAGACCTTCTAAAAATGTTAAAATGTATTACTGGCACATGAAACCTTAAATTAGAGTGAATAAATGAAGACTCGGCACACCACTTCTGAAAGGTTGCCAACCCCTGCTCTAGATGTTTATTAGTCCATATTACAAACCGTACAAGGAAGTGCACTATCATCACAGCTAGACCAAATCACTTACTAAGTGGGAGATCCTTGCCTTCAGTTTAACAATCATTCTACGCAGTGGAACAATGGTTGAGGTTAGCATTGTGCACATGTTAAATTAATCCAAGAAGGAAAAGTGTAATAAATTAGGGGAAAAAAGTCTCTAGATCCCAGAGTCCAGGAACCATGGGCAACTTAGCGTCAAACGTGAGTCCGGTGTAGAAGCTGTTAGCCCCACTGAATGGGTTATATAAAATATTCCTCCTTTTCTCCTTTGGAAGGGAGGTTCTCCATCTGTACTGACACATCTGCTTCTGGTTGCTCATAGGTATGGTAGCTACCTTTATTCTTGTACAGGTATATGATGATCACTACCAGGACTGTCAGGAGTGTGATGAAAACCACTGTGATGACACCTTCCAAAGAAAAAGAAAGCCAGATTAGGATATAGCCTTGCACAGGTCAGCCTCTAGCTGCTCACTTAGAAATCTGCTTGATCTGTAATAGTACTAGCATTGGTCATAAGAGCAACAGAACAATATGGGATGCTCTCAGGGCTACATTTATTTCAAACGGGGAAAATAGTATAAAAGTGTATATTAAAATAATTCACTGTAGCGGACAAAGAAGAGGTACAGAGGAGTACAGTGCTAGCCTGGGATTTAAGTCTAGATTCCATTCCCTGCTCTGTCCCAGACTTCATGTGTGACCTTGGCCATGGCATTTAGGCCAGATTTTTAAAAGGCATTTTGGGTCCTAAAGATGCAGATTGAAAATCCCACTAGGTGCCTGTCTGCATCTGGTCATACAGCAGGGCCAGGGAGCAGTGGGAGAATGGTTGAGGGGAGATATATAAGCCCTAGGCTAATTAAGGCAGGGTTCCCTGTAGACTAGGGAAGGTTACTACAGGTTAATTGGAGCACCTGTAGTCAATTAAGGCCCTGTCAGGAACCTATTTAAAAAGCCCTGCTTCAGGCAGATAGGGTGGTGCAAGGAAAGAGAGAGGACTGGAGTTTAGAGGTGGGTTGCTGAGAACTGAAAGACCAGAGAACCCGAGGAAGGGAGACCCTGCCCCAATGTCAAGGACTGAGTGTAACCCTGCCCAAGGGGGAAGAGGGTAAGAAACCCGCTGGGGCTCAGAGTGCGGTGCAAACCCAGACCCCTTCCCTCCTCTACCACCTTTCTGGGCCACTAGCGGGGCCCTCGATGCCTCAAGAGCAGAGGTGAGGGGTGGCGTCCTAGCCCTCCCACCAAGAAAAGCATAGGAACCACCATCCCAACATCAGCCATTGTGCCACAATCTGTAGGCACCTAAATACCTTTTAAAATCTATCTCTTGGTCTGTATGCCTCACTTCCTCATCTGTAAAGTGGAGAAAATAGGAAAGTACTACCTTATCGGGGTATTGTGTGAATTAATACGTTAAGAGTGTGAGAGGCTCAGATAACATGCTGATGGGAACCATATAGTACTGTAATATCACTTGCTATATTCATGCATAGATTTGGGGAATCAGTGTGGCGGGGACTGCACAGGAAAAGACGTGGGTTTCATGTCTGGCTCCGTGACTTGTGGTCTTGGACTTGCCACTCAGCGTTTCTGTACCTCAGTTCCCAACCCAGAAAATGACAGTAATATCTCACTTGCTGTTGAGCCGCTTAAGCAATTGATGTTTGAGAGCTTCAGAAGCAAGATGGATTTGTCACTGTGTCTAGAAATGATATAGGACACTCCTCTTTTTCCTGATCTTTAAATAGAATATCTTACGGAATATTAGTAAAGCAGCTGAGATTATGCTAAAGTGATAGAAAAAACAGTTTATCAGCAGTTGCTGACTACTGGTCTCTGTTATGGGAAGTTACTCCAGCATTTCAGCCATTAGCAGGCAGATCGCTCTTAACCAGCATCACACTATACCCTGAAGAGATGCTTCAGACAACGGCACCTGTAATAAAGTGTTACACTGGGAAATAAGGTATTGAAGCAACCTATGACAAGGCTTGGAGACTGGCTAAGAGGCAAGACTAACCTTATGTGCATGGACAGAGATGGAGGTGGCATTGATTTGGTTGGGTGAGAATAACCCATAGAGTTTTCTTTTTTTTCTACATCCATTTCCTCTTCTTTCTCTTAGAGAGAGAGAGAGAGAGAGAGAGAGAGTTGTGTGTGTGTGTGTGGTTTGTTTTTTTTTTTTTAAATCCTGCCCTGAACTCTATCTTTTGCCTCTTCTCTGTGCTTAGAACCTGGGCTGGGAGAAATTCACTGTTCCTTTAGCTTCATGTAGGCCATCTCTGGGGGGCCACTCTAGAATTGTTCTCAGTAAAAAGGGACTGAGAGGCTATTAAACTCCTCTGCCTGGAAAAGTTCAGCAGCTGTCAGCTAGATAAAAGTAACCTAGCTTCCGGTGCTGTTATCACAGTTAACCCCTCGGTGATATGACTTGGTGTCGTGCATTCTTGGCATGCGTATCTACCGAGGTGAGTGCTGAAATTTTGTGCGTTAGCTGGGAGCTGCCAAGGTCATCCACGTTGCAATACAGCCCCTTGCAGCAGTGAAAAGAATCATTAATGCCTCAGCGTGGAAGAAAGATGAGTAAGTCCTGTAAGGTGAACTACTTTGATTAGGCTCTGAGTTTTACCCATAAAGTGTCTATGTACCTATGTATCGTGGTACAGAGCAGAGTGATGGCCTGTGTGCTGGTTGGGATCAATGTGCAATGATAGGAACGTCCTACCTGCGATGACACCCACACTGGCTTCCTCTTGGAGAGACGGCGTATTTGTCCTCTTCAGGAAGGGGGTGGTCAGCTCTTCTTTACAATGCCGGGGGGGAAATTGAGAAAAGAGGGGAGGGAGAGGAAGAATGTAAGTGACACTGTTATTGAAGCATCTTCAAGGCACTTACAGTAAAGCCTTTGGAGACATCTAGTTACACAAGAATAGGTCCTATGCTAAGACTTGTTTAGTAGCGTTGGTTGAACATTTTTCATTGAAACAGTTTTTGGTCTGAAAACAGGTTTAAAACAAAAAGGAAGTATTTCTTCACACAACGCACAGTCAGTCTGTGGAACTCTTTGCTAAAGGATGTTGTGAAGGCCAAGACTATAACAGGGGTTCAAGAAAGAACTAGATAAGTTCATGGAGGATAGGTCCATCAATGGCTATTAGCCAGGATGGGCAGGGATGGTGTCCTTAGCCTTTGTTTGCCAGAAGCTGGAAATGGGTGACAGGGGATGGATCACTTGATGATTACCTGTTCTGTTCATTCCCTCTGGGGCACCTGGCATTGGCCACTGTCGGAAGACAGGATACTGGGCTAGATGGACCTTTGGTCTGACCCAGGATGGCCGTTCTTATGAAAATGCCCTTTTGGCAAAACCATTTTTTTGTTTTGTTGTGAAATTGTATTGACAACATTTTGTTTAGAAAAAAATAGGAAGGGTTTTGAAAAATGTTAAAACATCCCAGTTTGACACTTTTAGATCAAGAAGTTTTGGTTTTTCCATGGCAAAATGACTCTGGTTTGAAGCTTACTTCATTATATATTTTTAAAAAATGGTTGAAATCCAAACTAAATGTTTTGATAGACCTAAAATGATTTTGGATTTTTGTCCCAGTTTGAGTCTTTTTTTTGTTCTCAAATTTCTTTTTCTTGCAGCATGGAAAATCAGTTTTCTGACCAATTCTGTCATTTACCACAGATGAACCCTGGAATGGGAGTGAAGTCTGGAAACTTTTAAACCACATGTTAATTGAACGATTTAGAGCAGTGGCCTTGATTAGCAGCCCAGAGGTACTCAACACTTTTAGCCAAATCTGTGGACTTTAACAGTGCAACATGCCTATTGGAATCTGTGAGTTTTGCTCAATTCAAGACCTGGTTTAAAAGGCAGAACTGATGTAACAGCATCTTTCCCATCATTCTGTGGCATTATGTAATCAGGCTGTCTCCTTGCACATCGTGTTATAAATAGCACCAGTGGTACCAGCAGGAATGGTCTGGCAGTAGCTCCATTCCAAATTGTCTTACAAGTTCTCAACCTGAGACAATTTCTTCTGGCTACATTTTGCTTCAACGGGAGGTGGGATTCTTTGTTTAGGGATGTGGGTTTGTCTTCATGTGGGACAATTATAAAGGGGTCTTTTGGATAGGGGAAAAAAACAGAAGCTGCATGGACAGCAGGTGTTTTTCCTGCAAAGTTTTCAGCAGAAACAAACTTGCATTCACAAATGCTTCTACAGTTTGGCTCATTATAAACGTCTGCCTCTCCTGCTAAGATGTTGTATTGTAAGATGAGGCCCCATATAAACCTGCCTCTTCATTTTGCATCATGCAGAAGGTGTTGCTTTACCTTGCCAGCTAGTAAACCAAGCTGTGATTTACTGACCCCTTACCAGGTTTGCAACCTGCCAAGCTTTCAAGCGCTTCATACCTGGAGGTGGTGGAGTAGCCCCCATGGATCTAGCTGAGTTGCAGGTGTTTTTATCCTTCCAATTTAAATTTTGGGATCTTTTAGAACTACAAAAACAGCAAGAAAAGTGATGTTAGATTTAGTAGTGTCTTACAATGGGGAATGTAACTCAGTTAATTACCCTTATGCTTAGTTATGGTAGACTCTGAACTTTTTGGTCAGTCATCCAACATCAAAAGCCGCACTTACTTTGAGAAGAAAACAAAACAGTCTAATTTGTGCAGACCTCATTGGGATAGTTAGGCCCAGGGTCAACCCAGGAGCAAGTTAAGACAAGCAGGGATTGGGAAAGCCCAGGTGACTCTCCAGCATCTTCAAACACGTCCAGTTCGATTTGTTCGTTAAGCCAGGATCAGAGCAGACCAGTGATGAAGTGGGGAATTGTCTCTAGCCATGCAATTAGTTCTCTGATTCAATTTAAGCACATATGACACTTTACACCTTTAAAATGCTTTCCATGCACTAACTAGTAAGTCCTTACAACTTCTACGCTATGCATATAATTTTTTGTCATAAAAGGGGACCATGAGGCACAGGCCACGTCTACACTATCAATCTATTGGGGATCGATTTATCGCGTCTTGTCTAGACGCGATAAATCGATCCCCAAATCGACACCCGTACTCCACCTCGGCAGGAGGGGTAAGTAGAGTCGACGGGGGAGCCGCGGCGGTTGACTTGCCACCGTGAAGACGGCCAGGTAAGTCGAACTAAGATACTTCGACTTCCACTACGCGAATAGCGTAGCTGAAGTTGCATATCTTAGATCGATTTCCCCCTTCCCTCCCCCCGCAGTGTAGACCAGCCCATAGATATGTTAAGGCCAGAATATCTAAAGGTGGCCTTTGGTTTTGAGGGCTTTAGTTTTGAGTGCTTCTCATGAGCCACACTGGGCCTGATTTTTTCCAGGGTGCTGGGCACAGCCACAGCTTCTGTTGACTTCATTAGGAGTGGTGGGTGCTCAGCCCTTTGAAAACCAGGCCCGAAGGGCACCCTCAATCAGAGGCCATTTTGAAAACTTTGGATTCAAGGCACATAGTCCTAGAAATTCTAAACAGACACTATGTTCATACCACTACACCAGTGGTTCCCAAACTTTAACCACCCGTGAACCCCTTTCATGAAAATCTCGTGAACCCCCTCCTACAAATGAATATTTCCTGGGATTTTCTCCCTTACCTGAGCTTAAATTATAGAAGCAGTGATCTTGGAAATAATTTGGTTTTTTTATGACACACTATTTATTACTACATTATTATTTATCATGACATTTTATTACATTATGAAAATGGCAACACTCTTCCAAGATTTCACTTTTGTAGCTCCTATCCCTTCGATTCAGCCTCCTACACGTTTCATCCAGGAGTACCAGACGTGAAACAGCAGGAAGGTATTTAAGAGGCCAACTCAATAAAGAGTTCCTCCCACAAGCATTCAGGTCTTGAGCAGTCCAGGCAAACAACGCATGACTACAACAAAGCTTAAACTTGTTCTGCCAGGAAGTCATGGTCACGGGGCTCGGGCTGCCGGTCCCCGTGCGCGGGGTCTCTAGGGACGGCCCTGTCTGCAATTACAGATTTTTTTTTTTCTGAGAAGCCCCTGATACATTTCATGAACCCCAGTTTGGGAACCCCTGCACTAAAGTTAGGGATTCTTGTTTTCAGTTTGACCTTTGCCATCACTCTCCTGATCAGGCGCACTCTTATTGCACTCCTTGGGTGGGTAATAGGGTTACCACCTTTGAAATGCACCCCATCCACACCACACAAGGCAAGTCCACCGCACTCCTAATTACAAGGCAACTCTGCAACCCCCCCACCTTCAGCAGCCACTTATGTTCTCTAGAGAGAGAACAGGTATACGTAAGACTGATAACAATGCAGGTCTCCTCACTCTTGCATGACTCAAATGCTCTCTCACAGGTGTGCAGTGTGCTTGTGGGCAGTCGCTGTATTTTCAACAGGTTTGATCTGTTCTCACTTAAACTGTGGAAGTGGGAACCACTGCAGCATCTTTAGCTGGACACAAACTTTTAACATTAGGTATCCCAGTGTATTGTGAGAATGCAAATCTTTAGACCCATGGGGGAGGCGGGGGGGGAAGAAACCTGGCAGAGTAAATTATTTTTCTGGCAACTAGCAAATCCACAAAAAAAACTGGCCAGGCTGGTCAAATACCAGCCAGCTGGTAACCCTAGTGGGTAAATACATGTATACAAAGAGACTGAAGAGGTAGGTGAGAACTTCTAGACTCTTATTACAAGAGCACGTCATTTGACAGGGTTTGTGTGTGAACTTGCTACATTTTTATTAATTGTCGGGATGCTCAATTAATAGATTTGATTGGTTTCTAAAATCTAATAACTGTGAATCTCAGTGCATAAGCAAACTCTGAACAGGAAGAGTAAAGCCTTTAACATGGAAAAAATAAGGAGTTCTAGATAACTGGCTCTACCCCAAGCAAGCGGAGATGTCTTACCACATTCTGCTATACTGCAGTTTGCATTGCCTAAGGCCTTGTCAGAGGAACCGCCCTCATATCTGCAGCTCTGGTTTAAATGGCAGTTGCAGTTAGATCTCGGTGTATTTTATTAGGTAGGGCTCTGCCTCATACACCTTGTTCTAAAGGCTGCCTGCCTAAGAGGAAATGACTCACCCAAGCACTTGTAATAAAATTGGCAGCTGCTTCCCTACTCAAATCAAGTGAATCAGCTGCTGTTCAGGAACTGACCACTAGGTGTCAGGCGAAAATAAATTTTAAAACAGCAGTTCAAGCAACATTTCCTCATGCTAATTTTTTCCCCCTACTGTTACTCACACCTTCTTATCAACTGTTGGAAATGGTTTCAGGGTAGCAGCCGGGTTAGTCTGTATTCGCAAAAAGAACGAGGAGTACGTGTGGCACCTTAGAGACTAACAAATGTATTTGCGCATAAGCTTTCGTGGGCTACAGCCCACTTCATCAGATGCATCCGAAAGCTTATGCTCAAATAAATTTGTTAGTCTCTAAGGTGCCACAAGTCCTCCTGTTCTTGTTGGAAATGGGCCATCCTGATTATCACTACTAAGTTTTTTTTTTTTTTTTCCTCCTGCTGATAATAGCCCACCTTAACTGATTACTCTCGATATAGTTAGTATGGCAACACCCATTTATTCATGTTCTCTCTCTCTCTGTGTAAAATATATATATATATATATATATATATATATA